GTCAGGTAATCTCACCCAAAATGAAAGCGAGAACTGCATTAGTACAGAACCGCTGAACATAAGTGTTCGGAAGAGGTTGCGCGAGTAGGTCTTACCCAATATCGTCTGAGAATTTTTGTGGATGTCTTTAGGAATATTGTGCCCATGTTTCCAGCGGATCAAGCAACGACTGTAAGAGCATCGTACTGTTTACAAGACGCGCACATGCACAACGTCTGAGGAACCTCGGACGCATCAGCTGGACTACAGTCGTCAAGTTTGATCGGTATAATTGCCTATTATAGCTTCGAAGGCAGTCGAAGTTGTCGTGAAAAAAATACTTCCCCAAGTCCAGGACAACTGTTCGCAGGTGGAGGCTATTGCCCGATCATGATAGACAGTTGAAGTTTTCTTCTACTAAACTAGAAATGTCTGCCAAATTGTCGGGGTAAAAATCAGATCGACCACCGGTGCAATAAGGTCGGATATCCTTCGTGAGAGTTCGTTGAGATCTAGATAACGGGCCTGGAGCCACCTAGGAGACAATGTCTAGGGGGTATGAGGTTCTTGTCAAGGCAAACTGAGTTACATGACAACCTGCCACTCTTCAACCATATGGATGGTTGGATGGTTTCACTGACACTCGAAGAACCTCCCTACGCGCTGGTGCGAATCCAGAGACATGGGGTGAATATCTCCTTGTCCTGTTGAGCAAATGCTCAGCCCTCAAGTCGAACCTTGCTTGACGATAGCTTTAAGGGGCATAGTTGGAGCTCGATCTACGTTTCCACGGGCAGCTGCATAGCGACTAGTAGTGTGGGCAGAATGACATGAGTGACAGAGAAAAGGGAGACTAGAACGACCACTTCAGCCGTTATCAGCCGTTACCAGCTAGCCATCTCCAGCCCCGAATTTGCAAAACCTGGGACTCCAACCTGTGGCCTCTTGGTTAGAAGTCCAGTGCTCAAACCACTAAGCCATGGGCTCGCTGTCCCGTAGTTCGCGATCGGGTAAAGCGGTGCTCACTGGTCGCGTTATGGGACATATTCTGGAGGTAACTAGATTTATGTGCCTTTCCCATCGCTGTTTTCCCAACCCAAGTTGCCTGTGTTGGCGTTTGAATGCGCTGATATACGTAACACAACAACAAGTTTACGTCTGCTATATAGCACGTTTTGACACAACTTTGTGTTGATGGTTTACTATCACCCGATTGCACCTTTAATTCTCAGCCGCATCTTAACAGGTGTGGATGTATTCATGCAGCAACCTCTATGTAGTAAATCACCTGCAAATTCGTAGAGAAATGATAAAGATTTTCCGTGAAATCGGACTTGATAAGCGGCATATTCCCACAAGGCAAGTTTTAACTGGATTCGAATCGAGCACTATTTCAGATGAATTAGTCAACATCATCGACTGCTTCGGGGAAGTCAGTTCTGGTGGTGTCCTGTTTGGATATCTGGCGGCTGACGACTTCTTCGAATACCAAGTCATGCGCATTTTCCCCCACCGCTTGTCAAGTTGCCCTCCACTCAGAGCATAAAAATCCCCACCGACTGTCCTCAACTTGTTGTTGCACTTCTCCACAAACAACGCCGTCATCAGACCTCCCAAACGTAACCCTCAAATCACACAATAGCGATCTAGAAAACTTGAAAAGGTAGAGTGTGTTTTGGGGCGCTCTAGTTATCCCCATGCGTTCCACTACTAATCTTCAGTAGGGTCGAACATGGACTGCCCTACCAGGGATCGTCAACCTCAGCGACTTCTGCACAAACTGAGCCGAACAGGGGTTAGGGGTAACCTCTTCAAATGAATTCAAAGCTTCCTATTTGACCGTTCTCAGACTGTCCATGTTGGTGGCCAGCAGTCGACGGAGGTTGCCGTTGAAAGCGTTGTTCCCCAAGGCTCAGTTCTTGGTCCTACTCTGTTCATTATTTACGTCAAAGATTGCGTTTGTGAACTGGATTGTGATGTTGCCATGTCTGCGGATGGTATTAAGCTCTGGAGCGTCATTCGAACTGCAGATGACGAAGAGCATTTGCAGGCAAACCGCAGTTTGACCTTGTCAGCGACGACATCTCCAACCCCATCCCCCCTCAACTACTAGGAGTTCAGTACCTATAGTGGCTCCAAATACTTCTGTCAATTAGTGCTAAGGTATATCGAAATATTGTTTTTGTGAAGGCTGCTCCGCCAGATATATGACGGTACTGAATGAGATTGGCATTCAGATATCCCTCTTATATGTAAGACGGAATACGGTCGTTCCGGCTGGCCTTGAATTGCCGAAATGGGCCTGCATTCAAGATAAAGGTAAGATTTGGTCCTGCAGTCGCAAATTTGGACATCATAAAGTCGAGCTACTTAATTGATTTGAGTAGGCGACATTATGTTGCAATGGTTTACTTCGACAAGACACTACTGTGCCATGGAACCCCTCCCCCAGCCCCGTTCTGCGTGCCCATCTCACTCTTTTCCAATCCAACGAGTGGCCAGGGCTTTTCCTGCAAGTCCTTCCATTCCTGTCTAATTCACCGAGTGGCTGGGCTAGGTATTTCAGAGGTATAATCAAGACCATGTGTTTAATGCTCTTGTACCTCGTTGCCGTAGGGGCGCAGTTGAAACCGAGTGCTCAATGCCCTTCGATCCCTTTGATCCCTACTTCCTTATCCAATGAGTGGCCAGATGCGGAGCGCGTACGGCTGTATGGCCTCTCCCTCTTTTCCTATCCAGTGAGTGGCCAAGCCACCTACATCAGAAATACTGTTGTGTCCAAGCGGTCAATGAAATTGGACCCCGTTTGCGTTCTGCTTACTCCGAGCTTCTTTTCTAATCCAGCGGGTGACTAGGCTAGGTATTTCAAAGGCACAGTTAAGACCATGTGTTTGGTGCTATTGTACCTCGTTGCCGTAATGGCGCAGTCAATACCAAGTGCTCAGTGTCCTTCGACCCCTTTGATGTTCTTGCTGCCGTTGCATTCATCTACCTGCAGTCCCCCACCTGTTCCACCTAATGGTTTTACTTCTTTTAGCAGTGCTTTGGAGCACACATCGCGTCAGATGACGTACCGTTCAACTGCAGTACTGCGGTTTATGCCGACGAAGGCTACACAACTTATAATCCCCGTGTCCTCCAGTAAAGCGAGGCAGGTCTTCGTTACCTTGGCTAAGGATAGTCGGTTTCTCTCAGACACCGATCCAGTCCTTAATGCCTTCGTGGCTCTACACCGGCCTCATCGGCAGTATGCATATTTCGGTTATTAAGATCTACCTGAACACATATCCACCCGTATGCTGCCGCCTTTCGACATCAACATATTACTCTCAAGCTTAGCAGTCTTTTCTCTTCCAGACACTTCACCAGATAGAGCGAATTAATGTTATTCTGCACCGGTGTGAACTTCGTTGTCTTATCAACTTACAGTCCTGTTCTTGACTTGCTTTGCTAGGCTGGGGTCTATAAAATGACTTATATCACCAATTAATTAGTTAAGATAATTAGAAACTACTCATATTACCACAGTTTCCTTTTGCCGGTGGTGCTTGTTGGCCTCAGTCTACATTAAACTGGAATCTATCGCTGTCCTACGTTTACAAATCGCACTTATTATACTTAGCAAAAAAAACCTTGATATAATACACTGGCTTTATTTGCGACGCTTCGTCATTCGCGTCGTCTGTTTCCTGGACTGTTTTTTTGCCTACCGTTGCCTTCTTGCACACCTCGCGGATTGACCTTGACCGCGCGCAGCCCGCTGTGATTGGCAGCTTGCCTTCCTTGTGTGTTTATATTCTTTGCACTGGCATCGTCTTCCTCCGCAAACTGCTCCACATACATCGCGATACTTTCGTCATTTGTACTTGAGCTTCACCTTTTCAAAGTTTTGCTGTTTTCCTTAACATGCTCATTTTTTACAATTTCACGGCCATCTCTTTGTCGTGTTTGACTGCCCCACCCGTAAAACCCCCTTTACTGCCATTCCCGTATTACAGGCAGTTAGGGTTTAGCCACTTCTGGTGCAGCTGCAACTTCAATCTCAACTCCAAGGAGTGCAAGAGAAGTGAGTAGTCTGTTAACTGCCAGATGGCCCCGACGAAATGTATACTTTTAATGATTTTTTTTGAAAACGACGAAAAACTCTAAGACACTTTACTTCTCCTTATACGCCAGAATATACATTTCAAAATTCATTGCGACGGAGAGAACGTATTGAATGTACCGATCGAAGGGAACGTCGATGACTTCCTTAGAACACTATAAAAAAATCAGTTGTGCCAAATAACGACGGACGATGCGGCCGCAAAGTTCCCAACACACCGTCCGTTTCGTGTTAATCATATGTTATTAACCGTACTGAAATATATTTAGTAACATTGAATTTCGCAACGTTATTTCTGGTCCCTTGGTTGACGCTATGCAATCAACCTCCACTGGACGAACCCGACCAGTGCCCCAGCAGCGAATGTTCCCCTGATTTCCCTAAGATTTACTTGACCTTCTGTGATAGTACACTTAGGACTTGCGTAGTTTGTCCTTAGCCGGTAAATTAGGCGTTCATCTGACCCAATTGTGAAAAAAACTCGGCTGGTTCGGTGGGATTCGAATCCACAACAGCAAAGTCATGGCTTGAATACAACCGACGCTCCAACCACCTGAGCCATGGGACCCCACCGAGAGACGTGAGTTTAATTAAATTTGGGTCAAGTTACCCGCTCAGTCTTTTGTAACATGTAGAACCCAGCAATTCTGTTACAGTAGAGCTCAGGACCAAACAACCACACCGAACTTAAGAAGACCATATGGAGACAGCCCGACGGCGAGTTCTCTCGGTGAAAAAGAACAAGAGCTGCCAGACCGACCACCCGAAACTAGTTTAATCACCTCCCCATACGGAGTGGTGACTCACAAAGCACGCAGACAAAACGCCCGTCAACCATCGCTCGAGAGACCGAGGCAGCGAGAGGAGAGAAAAATCGATCGGCACGAGGCCGACCAACGTGACACACCACTTGGGATTACTGGTCGATTAAGTGCATTTTACGCTTTGACTGTGGAGAGCCGACCAGGCTCTTCGAAATGTCAGCATCTAAATAAACCTGTTTCGGTGAGCCCATCTTCTTCTTCTTCTTCTCCTCCTCCTCCTCCTCCTCCTCCTCCTCCTTCTTCTTCTTCTTCTCCTTCTTCTTCTTCTTCTTCTTCTTCTTCAAGTAAGCTAACTGCCCAAGTAGGTGACTACCAGGCTCATCTAATTACCTGGTATTTTTCCAAATTTGAATAATTCATATGACCCATTTGTGACCCAAATGTGACTAAACTCACGGATCTCGCTGTGGCCATGTAGTTTAGGTGGTTAGGGCGTTGGCTGCACTCAAACCTTCTCCTTGCTGTCGTGTGTTCGAATCCCACCGAGACCGCCGACTTATTCATAAATGGGTCATAATGAATTATTCAAATCTGCCAAAAACGTCAATAAATTAGGTGTTGTTGAAATCTATTCCTGTTATTCAGAAAGAGCACTGGCAAGGTCTAGGGTGACTAAACTGATTATTTCAGGGCTGTTTTTCGCGATTAGCTAATCATAACGTGGCGCAGGTCGGGGAAGGCAGGTGACTTTAACTATATGGCAACCTCAAATGACTCTAGATCAGAGCACAGAACAAACTGAGAGTGCGTTCCCTCCCGCAGCGTGATCGGTGAAACAGCACTTCTTCGTAACTTTGGTTCCTACTACGACTGGTGCCTACGATCAGCAGAGTATCTTTTCTGAGATTCACACCTTATTTCAAAACTTGCGCTTATGCATGGACAGCCTACTATTTAAAACACCATTGATGAACTGGACCTATTTGCGCTCGAGATGCTCCAGTGTCCAAAAGCTCGCATTGTGACAATGCACTGAATGCTAGACCGCGCCCGTTACCCACTAGACCCTCCGTCTCACGATTTCAAGGCTTCTGCAGTGGGTCATAAAAATGACTGACGTTTTATGTTTTCATTGACAACGCTCAGGCAGTCGGCCGGTGGGCGTTTCACCTGCTGTCATTTGAACACATTTAATTGTCTTGTCTCTGGGCCATGGTTTATGCAACTGCGTTTCGTCCCTCCACTACTATCGCCCGTGTGGTGGCTGCGCGTCAGTCAAACGACTCTCCGCCAGGCATAGACGCGAGCCTGATGGTTAGCCATGCCCACTTATCGATCCACGGTGCAACTGAGTTAGCGACCGGGTTAACGGACAGGAAATGTCAGGAGGGCCTGGGCCCATGTATGCACGCACGCGCGCACGTGGGCGCGCTGGGATCTTTGTTTATGCACTCAGCTCATGCGTCAAAGCTCAACAAGGAACGTGGTCTATACTCCAGGTAATCGCGTCCATTGCCTCAGCCTATGGGGAAGATTTTGTCGCTAGGTTTAGTGAGCAATTGAATCTGGGCTCGAATGCCGGGTCTTCCTGATCTGTGATTGGCAATATCTTGCCGACAATGGCGTCTGGGCCCTGCGTTAGAAAATCAATCTATTTTTCAGTACTGCGCACAACATGATGACCATTTTGATTGCGAAGTGGGACTGGGGGGGGGGGGGGTTGTCCCCAACCGGGCCTTCAACTTATAACTTCTGACAAAGATATTTTAACAAGCGCACCGCTAATGGATGGAGTAGATCCTCAAAAGCTGACCAAGTTATATAGCTCAGTTAAGTAAAGCAGATGAACACACGACCTCTGGGACAGTAGGTGTATTAGTCTGAGCTTTCGGTCCCGTACAGGAGGCCATCGTCAGAGACTGTGAGAATGCGACATCAAATGAGCAGTTTTTGAAGTCAAGATATGAAGGGGGGGGGATATGAGTGCAGAGGGTGGTATTCGCGATAAGTTGAGTCCCACGCCGTCTCACGGTGGCGTGACTGCGTGCACCATTGGCTGGAAATGGGGTCTCGCCCCTTGGCCGCGGGAACGGAGCGCGTGTTAGCAGGGGGGTATGTCAACGTGCCTGTTGATCGAGTTTGTGTCAGACACCCAGGCCTCCAACAGATCTCGCCCTGTCTTATTGCTGGCCCGCGCTACTATCCGCGTGCTCGCGATGTTGAATTCCTGGCCTTCCTCCAGGGTGTGAGTGGCAACCTGAGACAACGCGTCGCCTCTCCGGACCGCTCGTTTATGCTCCGTTATTCGTGAGCTAAGTCGTCGTCCGGTCTGTCCTGTGTAGTAGCGAGGGCAGTCCCGACATGGCATCTGATAGACGACACCCGATTGTTCTTCCACGTCTAGGCGATCCTTCATTCGCATGATTTTGTTGCGCATGGTCGCTGTCGGACGGTGAGTGATACCCACGCCGAGCTCTCCAGCGATACGCTCCATCGCTTCGGACACGTTCTTTATATATGGTCGAGGGTGCCAGAGTGTTGGCGGCTCTCCTCCGTTTGTTCGCCGTGGGCGCGTGCGGAGGCAGCAGCTCAGGTAAGTAATTGAAAGACGAAAATATTTTCTGTCAGCTTGGTTTTTGGGGTTAGGGAAATCTCAGTACCAAAATAAAGGGTTTGGTATAAGTGGGTCACCGACTGACCCACACACCAACCTCTAGTTCATCTGCCGCAAATGACGATTTATACGGCTCCGAGTATTGGCTCACGTGTATGCGGTTTCTAAACTTTTTTCGCGTTAATTACGGCACCAACAATTGAAGCTCAGCATTTGGTGACTCAGACACGGTCCAAGCATCGGTAGACGTTACGAATCTTTTCACGGACGATGGCTGGGCCCGTGTTATGTGTTCATGCACGTACTAGGACCGTACTAGGACGTTATTTCGTCAACAGCTGCAGTCTGAGGACAGCTAACTTTGTGAAGATGCGGCGAAACTCGAATTCCTTCATTTCTTAATGTCGTACAACCTAGCCCTCCTTGAAATGAGGAAGAGAAGGAAAACAAGGTTTGGTCACCGACCTGCGTCAGCTAAGTACTACACAACCACGCTAGATTGCAGTGATGATGGTCTCACTATTGTAAACTAAAGCCTTGCGCAACCTCCGAATGCGCAACAGTGCGGACTCTGGAGCTTACAAAGTTATTTGAACCTTCGATTGGGAGGAACTGTCTGCCTAAACTTGCCGCAACATCCACAGTTTAGGCTGTTGAGCTGACCTTGTTACTGTACGGAACAGATATATGGAATTTTGACCAACTCCAAGCAGCAGGACTCAGCCATTTCCAACTCATCAGTATTTGTGGAAGTTTTGAGGGTAAAACCACAAGGACTGTCTGCGGACAGTTACGTCTTGGAATGCTTGCATACCAGCACGTTCGTACTGTTGGTGGAGATCCTGTTTTTGGTGGAACGTCAACGTTGTGAGGATGTTGGAGGGCATCCTCTCGAAGAGGCTACCCTCCAGGGATATTTCTGCACGATTTCTCAGTTGTGAAAGAGAAAGTTTGTGCTACTTTTACTCCCTGAACTCCATTCACAGCCAACCCCTCCCCACTGTCCTCTTCGCCGGTACGAAATAAAGGGCCGGAATAAGCGGGTCCAGAACCCCTGGGTGCACCGTGCCAGTCCAGAGTATCTCTTTAAAATGTCGGCAGACAGGCTGTTGAGATGGTCACTTCCAATTTCAACGAGGGCGAAGCAATTGGCTTGACAAGTGACACGCATGCATGCAGTACGACCTCGTGTAGCGCTCTGCCTTTCACTAACTAAGTTTTACAGCCCAGTTATGCAAACAGAAAGGTCAAGGTCGCTTCTGTTCACTTGGTGTTTTGAGGGAAGGAATGTCAAACTCCTGAGGACAGGGTTCTATGGTCGCCTGTCCCCAAGTCCGCCAGCCATCAATGATGGCGTTTAAATCTTCCTAAACAGTTTTTCGCATTTTGTACACAATAAACTGCGGTGACCCTTCTCCTTCCAGCCGCTCAGCCCCATCACGCGGGCAGGCTGATGACTCCGGCCGGACGCCCTTTAAAAGCTCGACTGTGGGGTTGCGACCAGCCAATGGTTTAGACATCCCTTACTCTTGGCAGTTGTCCTAATGACAGTTGACCAATGGGCCTTCACTATCGACTCTCTACGCCTTCCCTCCCCGTCTCCGATTCATTGCCTGCCTGTACACTGCTTGCTGCCATCATGCGTATATTTTATTTGCAACTCCGGCGAGTGGCTAGGTGACTCACTAGTAGTCGGCAAAATTATGAGAAGCACTGGCATCGGAGCTTACTCATCGGTCCGGAGCTCTGCGTCAGCAGGGGCGACAATGGCAAATGGGTGACTTGAATGGGGCGGGGAGGCTCTTCGACTTTGCCTTACGATTCGGACTTTACAACTTTCCTATTTCCTATAAGCTTCCTTTTAACAAAAAATTCTGATTATCAGAAATTGTAGATGATGCTAAGTGTCATTGGTTTGCAAGTAACAACATTTTTGTCATCATTGTGAAAAAAAGGTCTCAGAGGAACAGCAGGCATGTAAAGTTTCCGAGTCAGACAGGGCTAGCTTGTAGTAACTCGGTTTTTTTTACTAAAAAGCATACGTGAACATGGAGCGTCCAACACACACTGGATTCGTCTTGAACTCTCAGCGGAACATTTTCCAAAGAATAGATAGGTAAAGTTCCCGAGTCTAGAAGGAAAGAGCACTTATAAATTTTTAAAATTGCCAAGCCTGTTTACGAAAACTCGGAGAGAGAGAGAGAGAGAGAGAGAGAGAGAGAGAGAAAGAGAGAGAGAGAGCGCTAATACCTGTGTTGTTAGTACGGCAAGTCATTGCACAGTTCTATACTACCGGGTGCCTGTTGGCGGTTTGTGAATATTAAGCGGTTATTCCGCAGTAGTTGATGAATTTCAGTTCAAATATTCATATCAAATTTTGGACCATGCCTGAAAAGGCCCGTTTCGAAAGAGTTACTCCAAGTTCGCGCATTAATTTCCTCGGAAATTAAATAAGGCATGTCTCCGTACGGGCTTCTTAAGTCCGGCGTGGTTGTTTGGTCCTGGCCGGGACAACACAAAAGCAGGACGGCTAACACTCGAGGTGTGGTACTCCGATGCCCACCCCATCAACAGGCATCTGGAAGTTCCTGCAACTTACAAAATCCTGCGTCATCACAATCGTAGAGCCAAGGACCAAACAACCACACCGGACTTAAGAAGGCCATACGCAGACATCCCGACAGAACCGCCGGACCGACCACCCGACAAAAGTTTAATCACCTCCCCCTGACGGAGTGTTGACTCACAAAGCACGCAGACAAAACGCCCGTCAACCATCCCCCGAGGGGCCGAGGCAGCGAGAGGAGGCCGACCA